GACCTGGGCTCCTGCGGTTTCCTGCACGCACAGCCCCAGACCCAAAGCAGCAAGGCTGGGGCCCAAAACCAAACTGACCGTGGAACTGCCCCCCGGAATCTGCAGCTGAGCCCGTCCGGGTTGGCTGCCCACTCACACAAACCAAACATTTTGATATGTCCAGAGGATTTGAACAGGATTCAAACCTTAAACAACACAATATTCAAAATGTCCGAGATACAACCTAAAGTTACTCAACACATAAGCAATGAGGAAAATTTAGAAATTCTCAAAACACGATCAATAGGTACCCGCCCTGAGGAAACCCTGGTGTGGGCGGGCCCACGAGGCTTCAAAGCAGTGGCATAAACTAAGCTCCACGATGAAATAATTTTGGAGGATCAAATGGAAATTTTGGAATTGAAAAAAAAATTCTCTCGAAGGGGCTAATGCCAGAGTGGAGATGACAGAAGGAAGAAACAGAAAACTTGAAAACAGAGCAATAGAAATAATGAACAGAGAGAAAAAAGATTGGTCCCTGGTCATCTAGTGGTTGGGGGGCAGGTGGGGAAGAAATAGTGAATATATGAAAAGACTGTTTTTTTATCTTAAGTTCCTTAAAATAATGATTGTTAAAAACAAAAATTACATTGTCTAGTGGCGTTATCAATGCATGTAGATATAATATATTTGGTAATATATCATAAATGGGGAAGATAAAGGAACCTAAATCATTGTGAAGCTTCTACATTTTATACAAAGTGGTAAAATATTTAAGTAAACTATAAAATATTAGTAATGTATGTTATAATCTCTAGAGCAACCATACATACAAAAATAACATATGTAGAACGAAAAAGCCAATTGATAAATTAAAACAGAATATTAAATATTCAAATAAGCCAAAAGGAGGTGGGAAAGGAAAAAAGGAAGAACAAAAAACAGAGGGACAAACAGAAAACAGATCATAAAATCACACTTAACCCAACCATGTCAATAATTACATTAAATGTAAATGATTTAAATATACCAATTAAAAACACAGTTTGTTCTATTGGATAAAAAACAAACAACAAAAAACAAGACTCCGCCATATTCTGTCTACAAAATATACACTCTAAATATACAGACATAGGTAGATTAGAAGTAAAAAGATGGAAAAATATATACCATGCAAACGGGGATCAAAAGAAAGCTGGAGTGGGTATATCAACATCAGAAAAATTAGACTTCGAAACATGGAAGATTACCAAGGATAAAGGATAACATTACATAAAGGAAACTGGATCAATTCATCAAAAAATGACACATTACAAACCGCAAAACAATTTGGATGACAGTGGATTTATTGTCATGCACCCAGAAAGACACAGAAATTCTAAATGTAAGCACCGAACAATAGATCTTCAAAATATATGAAGCAAAACCTGATAGAATTGAGAGGAAAAACAGACAAACTATTGGGAATGGCAGGGAGGGGAAAGGGAGGTAGGGAAGAACAAAAACTGATGACAAAAACAAAATAAGTAAAATACCATGTCAAAAGGAGATAGGTACCAAGGAGAAAAATAAAGCATGAGAAGAGAACACACAGTCTGTGCGTGTATGTGTGTGGCACATGTGCGAGTTCATACAGATCATTCAGTGAAGGTCTTGCCAAGGATGTGAGATTTGAATAAGGTCCTAAAAACACAGAAGGTGGTCCCTGTGAACACCTGCTGGAAGAGCAACCCGGGCTAGTGCCAAAGCCTTGAAGTGAAAACATGCACAGGGTGTCTGAGACAGTGGGGAGACAGGGGTGGCTGGATCACAGTGGGCAAGGAGGAACATTGCAGCAGGGGTCAGAGAGGTCACAGGGAACAGAGTATGCCCAGCCTTGTAGGCCACTGTAAGAATTTTGACTATCATTTCAGCAATGGGAGCTACAACATCCAGCTCATTTAAAAAAAAAAACTTGTAGAGATAGAATCTTGCTGTGTTGCCCAGGCTGGTCTCAAACTCCTGGCTTCGAGTGACCTTGATCCTCCTTCCTCAGCCTCCCAAATTGCTGGGGTTGCAGGCGTGAGCCACCACGCCTTGCTCGCTTCTTAAAATCGGGTTTTGCAAACCTGATTTGTAGGAGTCCTTAATATAGTTTGGATACAAGTCCTTTGTCAAACATGCTGAGATGATTTTTTTCCCAGGCTTGCCTTAGGGATGTCTTTTGATGAGCAGATGTTTTTAATTTCTCAGATATTTATTTTAGACTTATAGAAACATTGAGCAGATGTACAGAGATCCGCAAGCCTCCCCTGCCAGCTCCCTTATTACTAACATCTTGCATTAGTGTGGTACATTTGCTACAATTAGCGAACTAATATTGATACATTATTATTATGAACTAAGTCCATAGTTTACACTAAGGTTCATTTTTTGTGTTATACAATTCTGTAGGCTTTGACAAATGCATGATGGCATATCTTCACCATTACACTATCATATAGAAAACTTTCACCATCCTAAGAAATATCCTTTGCTTTATATGTTCAATCTCTCCCTTTCTCCTACCCCAAACCCCTGGCAAACACTGATCCTTTTGCAGTCCCTATAATTTTGCTTTCTCCAAAATGTCATATAGTATGTAGCTATTTCAGAGTGACTTCTTTCTCTTAGCAATGTGCACTTACGACTCCTCCATTTCCTGTCATGGCTTGATAGCTCATTTCCTTTCATCACTGAGTAACATTCAGTTGTTCCCTGGTACCACAGTTTACCCAGCCACCTTTGGAAAGATATTTTGGTTGCTTCCAGTTTTTTTGGTGATTATGAATAAACCTGCTATAAACATTCATGTGTAGGTTTTTGTGTAGACATATGTTTTCAACTCAGTTGGGTGAATATCTAGGAGCATGATTGCTAGATTGTATGTTATTTTTTTTTTCTTTTTTTTTTGAGACAGAGTCTCA